CTGACCCCCTGGAGGATGGCTTCCCTGTACCGGTCCAGGGCTGCTCTTCCCTGTTCGGTGTTGTGATCCCAGTCGGGTTGGGTCTCTGGGGCTGCCACCCGAGCGTACTGGGCTGGGTCTGTTGTGCCCACTGGAGCGTTGGCTTCTAGATACCTCTGGGCCTCCTGGAAGACTCTGTGCCTCTCTTCCGTATTAAAAGGGTTAGGAGCAATGGGCGGCATTCGTACCACGTTGGCCAGTGAGTTTGCATAATGGACTCCATTAGGTCTACGAGTGCCTGGGGCTTCTCCGAATATGAGGGTGTGTGGCGTTTCCAGTTCAAGAGGTCAGTCGTGGTAAAGGGCTGATAGTAAAACACGACCGGTCCCGGGTATAAGGTCCCATCAGGCCCCGTTCGTGGCGGGCCCTGGGTCTCCCGCAGTGGCATCTGGAGGGACTGGTGGTGTCTTAAGCGGGAGGCGATAGGAGATTCTGGGGGCGCTGTTGCCTCGGGCTGCGGGGACGAGACTGAAGGGGGCGGTGTTTCAGGCGCCTCTGCCTGACCTCCCAAGTTCCTAGCTGGGTAAGGGGGAGGCTGCACCGGTGGGTCTTCCTCTGGTGGGCCTTGATAGATAGGGGGTCTCGCCACGGGTTTGGCAACTAGGATGCGGTTTACATCCCTTTCCTTTGATCGGGAGCAACAGTTCCGGGCTCCCCTGGCTCGCCCTCCCGTAGCGCCTAGGTGACTGAGGTTTGACCCCCGCACACTTCCAGAGCCAGTCGGGCATCTCTTGCGCTAGCTCCTGCCACTTTTCTATGTAGAGGAATTGGTTTGGGTGTCTTGGACTTCCTGTGACTATGAGATGGACAGCCCTAATTATGTCTAGGTCAAGGGTTCCTTCAGGAGGCCAGCCTATCCCGAACGTGGGCCACTCAGCGGAACAGAAAATTTCTAATTGCCCCAGATCCATATCGGGCTGCTGGCCCCGGAACCGGTCGAAATTCCTTAACATGCAATCTAAGACAGTAGACTATCTGCCCCCCATGATCCCTCCCGAAACGGCGCAAACGGGGGCAGCAGGGATACTTTCACTTTCGCCCGCCTGGCCTCTCCTCTCGCGAGGGACTTGGGTCTGTCTTAGCTAAGGCTGCCCGAGTAGAGTCCGGGTTAGCTTCCCAGCCGTTATGCCGTATGACAGACCGAGGACCCGCAGGTTAGGGCTCACTCAGACTCCGTAGGCTCGGGGGAACACCGCTGGCCTGTGGAGCCACACAGTCAGTCACTCACTCAATCACACAGAGGTTAACACTTTCCCTCCTGACAGGGAAACCGTGCCAGAGGCCGGTCGGCCTGAGAGGTGATCGGCCTCTCCTTCCACCACTTATAGGTGGGTCTGATTCGGGTCTGGTCCCCGGGGCACTTACCAATCTGGCGCCTTCAGGTAGGTTTGGGTCCGCTCCCCAAGTGCCCGGGTTATGGAATGGCCCGAGGTCGGGGCCAAGGGGAGCCCAGCCCCTCGGGACCCGAAATCACCGGGGCACGTGCTTCCCTCTGGAGTCCGGGCTCCCCCGGCCGACCCCAGCCGTCTTCACCGGAGGCAAACGGCCTGCTCGTGTGAGTCGATTCCCGGTCAGGGAACCAAATGTTACGGAAAGCCAGACTCAAGACACGATTCAGGGAACGGAGTAAGCCTTTATTCACACGCGCGGGCTCAGAGGAGGCAGTCTCCAAATTCTGAGCCCCGAATCGGGGTTAGATGGGGGTTTATAAGCCCTAGCATTCCGGCAGGAAACGGATGGGCTTCCCAGGTGGGGGAAGGGATTAGCATTCAGGTGGGAGATTGATGAGATTGATGTGCTACCCAGGGGGGGGAAGGGATGTGAAAACGGGCTACAGGAACAGATAAGCAATGATTAACAGTTAACCTGGGAGGGGTCTCTGGCTAGGCTGCTCCTCTTAAGTCATCTTGCCCTTATCAGCTGCACAACAAACCAAATTTTGGTGGTTAAAAATGATAATCATTTATTTATTTATTTTAGCTCACAATTCTGTGGTTTGCCAATCTGTGCTTGGCTCAACTAGCAGTGAGTTCTTCTGCTGGTCTCACTTGGATTCACTCATTTGCTGGAGGTAGGCAGTGTAATGGCTGGTTGCAGATGGTCTCATGCATAAGTCTGATGTTTGGCTAGGGTGATGGGAAAAACTGGTGTGTTTCTCTAGCACCTAGCAGGCTAACTTGAGCTTTGTCGCTGTTGGCTGTCTCCGTAAACAAGAGGGTCAACTCCAATGCATAAGCACTTTACAAGACTCTGCTTGCACCACATTTGTTAATGTCCCATTAGCCAAGCCAAGTTACATAGCTAAGCCCAGATTCAACAGGTGGAGAGGAGTGGCAAAGTCACATTGCAAAGGGCTATATATTCAAAGACAGCAAGAATGTGTGGCAGGTTTCTTTGTTTGCAATCTACTACACAGCATGGGGCACTTCCTTTGTTAACGTATTTGCGTTAACAAAAATTTAGCCACATAGGTACACCTCATCCACAAAGAGAGGCTAGGAGATACCTCTAGCGAGCCGGACATGCTCTCAGCTAAAACTTAGTGGAGGTAGGCAGAAGGGTTTCTTAAAAAAAGGGAGGCACAGGGGAAATGGACACTGGGGCAAAATAGCAGTATATCCCGTGGGCAACAACAATTCAATTGTCAGTTCTTCAATTTGTTAAAAGAATTAAAACCCCCTTGATTTACACATAAACTTTTTACCTTCAATTAGGCCCAATAATTCAAATCATTCCTGTGATTCCATGAAGGTTTTTATACCCCAGGACAATATTTCAAAGTAAGAGCCAGGATGAGTGAGATCTGCCTCTCTTTTCTAAAAAGGTGGGAGAGGTCAACTGGGAGAGAGGAAGTGTGAAAGGAGAATCAGGAGGGGGCCCTTACCACAGGAGCCTTCTCATGTAAATTTACATGCTTTTTCATGCAAATCAATTTTAAGAAGTACAACTGTAAGTTAAGAAATGAGAAAATTAACTTATTAATTTTGGCCACATACCTCTTTGAAAGTCTTTAATGCCTCCAAAATTGTGCACATTTCGGTTTTAAGGAAATTACCTTAGAACACTTTAATTCTGAGTGCCTTCTTGGTTCTTCTTACATGTTACCATCTAGCATTTTAGTTCTATTGTTGTATTAATCCCACAGATAGACACATTTTAAATTTTGACTTCAGATTAGTTTGACTAGGTCTTTTCTTAAACTTTTCATTGTAAAAATATATAGTATATATAACACATAATGAAAGTCCCTTTAGTCCCTAAACTCCTCATACCATTCTCGAGGTGAACATCTCACATTTTGACTTTTCAAATGTGTGTGTGTACAGACAGAATAAGTAGATACAGATATATACATATGCACATATATTCTGTTCAAGTTTTTTGAATTATAAATTTATTACAGGCTCATCTTGGCAAGTCTAACGACTTAAAATGGTATAAAGAAAACTAAGAGGCTCTCGCACTTCCTTCACAACACACCTCTCTGAGGAAAACAATATAAACGATTGGCTTATGTACCTTTGTACTCCGTCCTCTGGTCTATAAATGTACAGGGTGGAGCAAAAGTAGATTTACAGCTGTTTGTATGGAAAAAAAATACAATAATTAATAAATAATACAAGAATAGTGTTTCCTGTACTTGCAACTGTAAACCTACTTTTGCCCCACACTGTGTAAAACTGTCGGGGATGAAAAATCATCCTTACCCTTCAAAGTTCTCTGGCTGGTGTCCTTATAATCAAATTAACACAAGACATATTAGCCGGAGAAAAACAAATTGAAGTTTAATAATATGCCTAACTCCAGTACACATGGAATAAACCCAGGAACACTGAGTAACTCCTGCAAATGGCAGAAGTCATTACATTTAATACCACCTTCCGCTAAAGACATGATATTGGCATTAAGAGTCAGTCATGGAAAAACACAGCAAACAAGGTTTTAGATTGTATGTAAATTTAAGTCCAAGTCTTCCTCACAAACGAAGGCAGGCCAGTTAGAGTGAAAGAAACACCTTTACAAATGGAGATTTCCCTTACAAAAGTAAATGTCCTTTAACAAAGGGCAATTTCTTGCTTTCCAGAGCTTCTCCTAGGTCTGCTTTTCTTAAAATTAACCAGAAAACCTAAAATAATCCCAAAGTAACATATTTTGGGGTGACATTCTAAATCTACAAAAACTTAAGACATTTTAAAATAAAATATTAACAAATCTAGACGTTATTTTCTAAGAATTAAAATATAAATCTAACATTTGTCAGGCATGTATACAAACAGAATGAACATGGGGAAATAGGCATGCATACACAGATGTATATGATATGACAAAGCATTTCAATTTCATGTCAACGATTAAAAGTTTTACTCAAAGAAAGGCATTAGAATCACTGGTGATTAGCTTGAAAAACTTTTAAGTTAGGTCTGTACCTCATACTTTCCATCAAAATAAATTCCATAAAGACCCAAAATGTTCTTGTAAAAAATGAAGAAAGGTTTAAGTATTGGGGGAAAAAAACATGAATTTTTCAGTTTTGAGGTGAAGACCTGTACAGCATGTCACAAAACCTGAAAGCCACCATAATAAAAGAATGGATTGATAATTTTATGAAAGAAGTTTCTGCAACACAAAAACCACAATAGAAGACAAATGACAAACTAGGAAAGTATTTCTACCTCCATCACAAAGGACTAATTTTGCAGTATATATAAGAGCTCCCACAAATCTATCTAAAAACACCAAAACCACTTAATAGAAAAATGGTTAATTTCATAGAAAGGGAAAACACAAATGTTTCTTGAACATGTAAAAATGTGCTTAGCTTCCATCATGATGAGAAGTGTAAATGAGGACTGCACTGAGACCATACCTAACCTCTCATCATGTTGCTGGAACAAGCCTGAGGAAATATTCTCACCTTGCTAGTGGAAAGGTGCACTAATGCAATCTCTGTGAAGGACAATATGGCAATGTCACAGGTGGGCACAGGTAACCAGGTTCTTGGTGATCACGGACAAAAAGTTGAACGGAACACGAGTTTATAGCAGAAAGCGAGAGAAAGCAGATTTAAGCCACACAGAACATGGGAGCAGGCCAACTCCAAGCAGAGTAGAGCAGAGCTGAGCAGAGCCAAGCAGAGCCAAGCAGAGCCAAGCAGAGCCTTACAGAGCCTGACATCAAGGGCTAGAGTGCTTTTACTCTTTTAAGGGCTGGTCCCTCCTGGCTAGTTTTGGTGGGCGTTTAGTGTGTATATACATACAAGTAATTACATTAAAATTACTATGCATGCTGTCTCCCATGATTTCCATGATTGGCCACCAGGAAGGGGGGTCCGACAATGCTAACTTATTATAATTATGTTATAATGAAGCAGGGGTCATGTAGTATCTCCTGTGTAGGTGCATTCCTAGTTCACTAGGATTCAGTGCTTTTCAAGAAAGCAGGAACTACCAGTCTTAGAACAGGGTCTCTCCTTAATTGATGTTCTTTATGTTAGCCCTGGGGCACCTCTGGAGTTTCCTCCTTCCTATCTACTGCCCTCAGCAACATTACTCAATATAACGAATACATATACCCTTGGACCAGCAATGCCACTTTGAGAAATTTATTAGCAAAATGATGTGTATATATATGGTTTTTCATTGCAGTAGGGTTTCAAAGTGACTGGAAATAAGGTGTTCACTAATAGAAACCTCTATCAATTATGTGACATAACTATGAATACTGTGCATCAATTTTTATGTACTGATACGAAATGGTCTCCAGGACATTTTGATGTGACAAAAGCACAACATATTGTATTCCTTACTGTTTTGTTCATATATGCACACAATTGTCTCTTAAAGGATCCACAACAATCAGGCAGCACTGGCTGACTCTGGGGAAGGGTATTAGGTCATTGGGGAGTGGGATTTGGGAGGAAACTTAATTGTGTACCCCTCTTTGAATATATTTAAACATCTACATAGAGACTTCACTGGTGTGGCACAGTTGGTTGGTCATTGTTCTGCAAACCAAAAGGTCACCAGTTCAACTCCCAGTCAGGGTACATTCCTGAGCTGCGGGTTCAATACCCAGTTGGGATACATATGAGGCAACTGATTGATGTTTCTCTCCCTCTTTGCCTCTAAATATAATCTTAAAGACAAACAAACCTCTATTGAAAGTACACTTCAGTGACTATCATTTTTATTGCATTTTTTCCATTACCATTCATCCCCATTATACCTCCCTCCCCCGCTACAATCACAACACTGTTGTCCGTGAGTCCTTTTTCCTTTTTGCTTCATTCATGCCTACTCCCTAACCCTAACCTCCCCCGCTTAGCTGCCATCTTGTTATCAGAGTCTGTCTCTATTGTGCTTGCTTCAGTTCGTTCATTAGATTCCACATGTGAGTGAAATCATACGGTATTTGTCTTCCCCTGTCTGGCTTACTTCACTAGGCATAGTGTTCTCCAGGTCCATCCATACTGTCGCAAATGGTAAAATTTTATTTCTTATGGCTGAGTAGTGTAACATTGTATATATGTCCAATAGCTGTTTAATCCTCTCATCTACTGATGGGAATGTGGGCTGCTTCCTTATCTTGGTGATTTTAAGTAATGCCACAATGAAAATAGGTATAATTACATTCTTTCAAATTAGTGTTTTTGGTCTCTTCAGATACATTTCCAGAAGTAGAATCACAAGGTCAAAAGGCAGACCTATTTTTAATTTCTTGAGGTATTGTCATACTGCTTTCCACAGTGGCTGCACCAATGTTCATTTCCACCAATAGTGCAAAAGGGTTCCCCTTTCTTCACATCCTCGCTAGCACTTGCTGTTTGTTGACTTACTGATGATAGTCATCCTGCGCAGTGTGAAGTGATAGCTCACTGAGGCTTTAATTTGCATTTCTCTAATGATCAGGGATGCTCAGCATCTTTTTAATGTCTATTGGCCATGTGTACATCCTTTTCAGAAAGGTGTCTATTCAGGTCCTTTTTCCATTTTTTAATTGGATTGTTTGCTCTTTTGGTGTTGAGTTTTGTAAGTTCTTTATAAATTTTGGGTGTTAACCCCTTATCAGATGTATCCACAATTTACTATCTCACTTCTCTCATGCCCAAGCCCTCTTCCAAGACCTTCATTAGACTCTATAGTCAACAGAAGCTAGTGCCTTGAACAGGGATATGCTCTTGGAACGCTGGAAGGCCTTGTCTAGGACTCTCCCTGTCCTTTCAGGAAAGTGAGGCCAAGGGCACCAGCATCTGCTTCGAGTTCCTGGAGCTGCTGACAACGTGCAGGACACCGACGGCATCTGGCAGAGGCTGCTTTGCCCTGGCCATTCTGCTGGCAACTGTGGACATCCAGCTTGGTGGTGAGTACAGCGCATACCCAATCCTCAGAGTAGAGACAGCCATCAGGAGACTCTTAAGACTCATGAGGAGGGATGAATCCCATTATTATTATTTTTCCCTAGGGGGAAAAAGGACCCACTTTTCTTGACACTAATAAAAGGGTGAAAAACAGTTCATTTTTAATTAGAATGCTCTTACCCACCCCATCAGACATTCAGTCTGTGCTGTGTGTTGTAAACAGCCTGGTAATCTGGCCCTCAATCTAAGATTCCTACAGGCTCACACACTGTAAATTTATGAAATCTAGTTTTGCCAACTCCAGCAATCCATTTAACAACTCTGTGCCTCGTATTTGTTAATCTATAAAATAGGAACAATAATACCTGTCTCTAGGACTATATTGAGGATTGAAAATATAAAAAAGCACTTTAAGTTAAAGGCCTTATAGGTTTCCAGAAGGATAATAAAATATAAACCATTCCTGAATTAATGAATGGTATTGCAGGTCTCCATCAGATACCGGTATAATTCATAGACATTATAAGAGGATTGTATTTTGTGTCCAAGGGGGAACCCCCATCTCTGCCTCAACAATTATCCCTAAGCGAATTTCATTTACCGTGTATACCCAGGCTACCATGGCTAATTCTTCCCTTCCCGTTTCAGGATGTATGAAAATCCTCAGCTCAGTTTCCCAGGAAGGAAAGCAACTAAACCTATACAATGCGGCATAAGAAAGAAGAGGCTGAGGGGATTGTAGTGTTTTTGTGTAAGGACAGGCCTCTGAGACCAGCTTGAAGCAACTGAGAGTGAAAAGGCTGTCTTGAGACAGACAGTGTCAGTGAAAGTTCATCTCAGCTGGTGTTCACCATAAACCAAGCTACACCATCGGCCAATGGGACTTATCAGTGCTGTGCCAGAAGTCAGAAGCCAGAAATCCACCTTCAGGGCCAATTCTTCTCCGTTTTAGTTACAGGTGAGCTCCTAATATCCCTAATACCACAAGATGGGACGTAAGCAGAGTCAATAGCTGCAGACAGTAGTTATTTCAGGTCCTGAATAGGCAATCTTCTTAAGGAAGACTCAGTCCTTTTCCATCACTCCCACTGGCAAATGCTGCTTTCCTAAGAAGGTAATTGCATTCTGCCTTCAATTTTAAAAAAATTTTACATATCATTTTTATTGACACTGAGAATGGGTCACAAGAAAGCAAAACAACTTACCCAGTGCCAGTCACTGACCAGGGCCAGTATAAGCAAACGGAAATCTACAATTTAGGCCTATTCATTCACAACTGAGAGCTATCTAAGGAATGTGGCTATATTTCTAAATACAGGCACTGAACCTTCAGGCTGAACAGATAGATCGATCTGAGATAAAATGTTTGGTTGTACTAAGGACCATTCAGTTGCAAGAAACAGAAACCCATTCAAGATGCCAAAGATTAAAGAGGAAAAAAATAATAAAGCAGGAAGTACAGCTGGCTTTCATGAGGTCATTTCCAGAAAAAGAAACCAGAAACCAACAGAACCCCAGTTACTGTCTCAGTCTCTCTGGGGCAGCAAATCTCTCATCCCTGCAATCTCCTTCATTTCGTGCTCTCCTGCTGCTACTACTTTGGCACAGCCTAAATATGAGCACTTCAGCCTCAGCTTTACATACAACTTCTTCCTATGCCCAGTAGAGAGTGATTCTGTTTCTATATGCCAAGACAATGAAGCAAGCCTTCAAAATTAAAAATTGTATTCTACCTAGAATTCTATGCCCAACCAAACTACCAATTAAATGTGAAGAAGGAATACACTCTCAAGACATGCACTGGCTCAAAAAAAAAAAATCTGTATTCTGTATGATCTTGAAACTACCAGAAAATGTGCTTCAGCAAAACTAGAAAGTCAATCAGCACGGTAGATAAAATGGGATCCTGGGAACAAGAAATTTAATAGAGGAAAGGGAATAAGAAAATTCTAGAATGAAAAGTGCCAAAAAGAACAGAGTCGAGAAGAGGAGGAAGGGAAAGAGGGTTACAAAAGAAAACTCTCTAGGGGGGTAAAAATGAATTGATCATCTCTCCAAATGTCTATGACAGATCTAATGAAGCATATGGAAAACTACTAGTTTAAAAAAAAACGAAACAGGTGATCATTGTCTCCAGAGAAAACATTAAATTTTACCAAAGGAAACAATCATAGCACACACGACTCTGTATTAATATTTACATAATACAAGTTATGTAGGTATGATTTGTGAAAGATGCATAGAATGTTAAAGGTTTAAGAGAAACATATCCTTATCTTCTATCAAAGTCAACAGATATCTAAACTTTATCAAGAGATGGTAATATGAGCATATTATTTAGAAATATGGTGAAGCCTCTCAAAGAATTGACAGTGATTGCCTCTGAGGACTAAGCCTGGGAGGATAACACTATTATTCTTTATATAAACTTTCAAATAGTATGTTACTTTTCAACTTTAAAATTAGGTATAAGTAACACCCAAAATAGAAACCTGCCCCAGAGCCTTTTAACAGCTGTTTTCATCCCCTCTGGTAGTCAGCAGTTAACCCAAATTTTCTACTACAGTCTAGGTTGATTTCTATGTTCCTTTCTAGCTTCCTGGTATGCCTTCTCTGGCCTAGCTATAGCATTCACCACTTCCATCCTCCATCAACTCCCATCTCCATTCACTTCTGTGACTGTATTCCCCTAGTTTTTTCTACCTTTCTGGCTGTTCTTTTCTCTTCCTATGCCTCTATTTCCTCATCCTCTCTCTCACACATGGGCATTTCCCAAGGCTCATTATCCCCCCCCCCCTTCCATCTTTTCACTCTCTCACAAGTTACCATCCACCCTCATAATTTAAACCTGCACCTCCTTAAAGCTGACCCATAAATCAACCTCTCCCACCTCTATACTCTTCCCTAAGTTTCAGTTTAACATTTCCACGGACAACTCCAAGCTCATGAATGCCTTACCATCTCCTCAAACTTGAACCTATCCTCCTGAGACTGTATTTCTGTCTATAATTTAGCCAAAATCTTGGTTCCTCCTTTTTTCTCTTCCCCTCTCCAGTTACTAAGTATTACTAGGCCTTTCCCACATTCATTCCTCTCTCCAAGTTTTCTCCAGGTCATCATCTCACACTTAACACATTCCAATAGTCTCCAAACTGGTAATTTCAGCTCCGACTTTCCTACTCATCCTTCTTTCACATCAACCTCAAGACCTGACAGTGAGCTGTCACCTAATAAATGGTCTACCAACTCATGGTCTCTGCCTCCAATCCATACTGCTAAAAGATATCTAACATGCTAATTTGTACATGATGCACCACCAGTTTTAATGGCTTCTCACTGTCTATGGGACAAAATCTAAATTGCTTTAGCCCTGCCATATTTAGTACTGTTCCAGTTAACTTCACTTCCTAGTGAAAGCTGTTCTTTCATTCAAGTATTGTATACCACAGGCACAGCACTAAGCCTTAGAGAAAAGAATAGGGGTACGACAAAGCCCTTTTTCCTTGTAATCTAGTATTCATGTTCTAATATTTCTATTTGTGATGGTTCTCCATAAGATATAATGCTTTCCCATTTTCTCAGCATATTTAAGTATTGGAGTTAGCATATATGGATGCTCACTAAATGTGGAAATATGTTCTTTTTGGAAGATGAAATGAGGCCAAACAGATACAGTATGAATAAACTTCTCATTTACTGTGCATATAGTGTCAAGCATTTTGCTAAGTCATATTTCATTTAATCCTCCTGGTTTTTTGGAAAAGGAAATTTGTGTATATTTACTCAACTAGTAGTAAATGGGAGATAAAAATCCAGATCTGTTCCAAAAATCCAGATTTTAACTTAGGGTGAAAAGTTACTTAGGTTTAACTTACTGCTTGATCAACTCCAACAGATGGTTTTTAAATATTTGAGACCTTGTGAGACCCAAGTCCAAAGTGACTAAGCTCTTCCAGCTGTCTCTCTGACATGACTTTACAGGTCCTTCAAGGTGGGCTTATTTGCATCCCCAGTGTGATAAACAATGGATTCCATATTTATTTATTGATGCTAAAGCAAATCATTATCCATGTTAAAAAAAAAAAAACAACTTACTTGGGCAATGAATTATACTGAGATACACTTGGAGACTAAAAGATAGGTGCTAAGGTGATGCAAAAGGAAGTACTGATCATGTCTGACACCCTTCCCTAATACCCTAATTCTCTTTTGAACCAGAAACAGGGAACTACACAGTGATGGGACTGAAACAAACAGGATACCAGGAGTTCAGCCACAGTAAAGGTACTCTCAGTTCAAGCTTCCTGCAAGAGGTCTGGATGGTGCTGGTCACCAGTCTGGTGGCCCATCAAGGTATGTTCACATAAAACCCTTAAGCACACCAAGCAATGATGTCTAGGTTACTGTCCTGAAGGGAGGAAAGGAAGTCAAGTGGGAGAGGGAGATGCTCCTTAACTCCTAGCTGTCACAGGAAAACATCAATCCAGTGAGGGCAAAATTGATCCAAAGGGACTCAAGATTTCATACTAACTAGGGAAAGATGGGTGAATCAGACTTTCCTTTGTGAAGGAAAGGCCTTTGAAGACAAGTAAATACAGCTGTCTCAATGCACTAAATGAACAAAGGGCAAGTTGAGACCATTATATGAAAATAAACAAGAGACAGACTTAGTCTGGAGGTGAGGTTTGAACAACACAGCTCCTTGGCAAAGGCTGATGGCCAGACTGAGTACGCTCAACACTTCTTGCTCAGTTCTCTGAGCACCATCTATCAACACGAATCAGGGTTTTGTCCCCTGTTAGATTAGAACTTGCAAAATTTTGTCATTACATTTTTGCATAATCAGTAACTGATGTAGGTTTTTGTCTTTCCTTGGCATTCTAATTCCATTTTATCTAGGCATTCCTCAAATCAGTAACACACACAGTTTGAATGCTGCCAGAATATAAGCTCTATAAATGCTGGGACTTTATCTTGCTTACCATTAAAAACAAAACAAAACAACCCCCCCCCCCCAAAAAAAAACAAAGGAGTATCAGGCACATGTAGGCTCTTAATGAATTTGTTTGAAGAATCTGTGTTATGAGCTAGGCTTTCACATGGTGGTTCTAACCTTGGGCATTAGGAACAAAGGCAAATGCTGCCCCAGTTCACAGGAATACAGGTCCTTCTCTAAAACCCTGTGCTCTCAGTAATTACCTATGAGCACTTTCTCTCAACTCTTTCACCACCCTCCCTATTCTGAAACTGCCTTCTCCCATTTCTAGAAACAGGCCACTTAACACTCCCTTATTCCAACTCTTTTAACTGCAAACTATCAAAAAGATAGTGATCCTTGGCAAGGACCTGCCAAATGTAAGCCTTTGCCAGTTTTCAAGGGGAAACTTATGAGTATCAAGGAGTTTGACCTTTTAGACATATTATTAAATAGAAATTCCCTCAGATGGTTAGGTTATTGTTAATAAATTTTATTCCTTCATATAGAAAAAAACTTTAAAGAGAAGAGGAAATTAAGTTTAGTCATTCAATCCACTAACACTTACTACCTCTGACTCCCAAGTGATGCTAGAGTAAAAAAAAATCTCTAAGCTCTTTTCCCTTCACCAGCCAGGTGAAGAGAATGAAGTTTTGATAGTTCATTCCTTTTCTTCTCCTCCTTTCCCAAAGACTGACCAGAATTTCTAAAGAGAACAAAAGTATGTTTTCTCAGGCCTAGGGGTATCATATAATTCAAGCTATCATACTTACATGTGACAAAAAGGATGAGGGACTTCCCTGGATCTGTGCTTTCCTCAGCTCATGACTAATTTCAGTGAGTATGACTGTCCTATCACTATATCAACCATTCAGCACTATACATGGGAAACATACCTTAAACTTTGAGTGGCATCTATTTCTTCTTTGATTGTCCTACCTTCCAGCAAGGAGAGCTCTATGGTTAGCTCCCTCCCCAATTCCACCAGAATGTTAGATTTGCTAAAGATCATGACTGCAACTTCAGTAGTAAACACAACACATAATACATTCCATGTTTTTCCTTTTCCATTCCCTCTCTAGTCTTAAGTGTCTATCAAACACACATCCCAGGATGAATTACACGAGGTATTATGTTTCTATTCTAAGTTGTGTGGCAGTAATACAAACTTTTCTTTTTCTACAGCTCTGTAAGGTTTTCATGCCAGAAGAAACTTTTGAAAAACTCACAGTAAGAGAAATATGACTCTCTTTAGCTTGGTATATTTCACATTACAGTATGTACATAGAAAAAGAAAACAAAACACGGCACAGGGGAATATACCAAGAATCTTTGGAATGTACAATGTCGCAAATGAGCATTTCTCTTGATCTCCCCTACTTACTGCCAGAGCAAACCTGCCTTTCTTTTCAACTCAGTCCCAATAGGTAAAAAGAGTAGCTCTTGCAAAAGTGGCTAATGTGCGGTTCTCAAACACTCTAAGTACATGTGCTTTTTGTGTCCCAGAAGAACTTTTCCTCCCTCCCCTCTAACATAGTAAAAATAAACAAGCAAGTCAAACAAATTGAGAACACCAATTTTTTTAAAGAAATTTTTATTTACCACTAAAGGGAAGAAAGAGGAAACGAAGATATGTAGGATAGGAGAAAAAGTGACCCAGACCCGTGTCTTGAGTTGGCATTTTGAAAAGAGGAAATGAAGAGAGCTTGTTCAACCGCAATCCACATAACACTGCTGCAGGAAGATTTGTGAAGACCAGGGGCACTACAAATCACAACTGTCTACCTTCAACTAATTATTTGTCAACATCTTTAGTCAGTCATTTCTTTTTTTATATAAATGCTCAGAGCAATATTCGCAGCCTATTTCTCCTAAATTCACAAATCCTATCTCCCTTTAACAGATGACCCCTAGTTAAGATGAGAGGAGGGGGGAGGAAGAAATATCCCTGATAGGAAGAAGTACATGAATAAAGAGGTAGGAATACAGAAAATTTAAGTGGAGCTAAACAGCAAATCATCAAAAGGAAATAGACACCTTACCTGTGATCCTTGGCCAGGACCTGCCAAATGTGGGAGATAAGATTTGTGGGAACAGAAAAAGAAGGCTGAAAGAGATGGGTAAGACCCTTATTAGTAATGGTCTTAAACCTCAAACTCAAATGATTTTGAATTTTGTCTTATGGAGGTAAAAAAAACTAGGCATGGAGTTAAAAGACCTGACTCTGCAGCTTACCAGCTATGTGTCCTTGGGCAAATGAAGTTTTGAAATACATCCTACATAAGTACATACTGTATTTCAACTGGAGGTACTGTTGATTCTGCTGTGACTAATGAAGACAAATTGATTTAATAGCATTACTGAAACCATGGCAGCTTTTTGTTATGTATTTTTTTCACCAATACTAAAAATATAACTATCATCTTTTTGGGAAGGAGTCTAAAAATTTTGGGGCCTTAAATGGTACATTTTATTAGAAAAGGTAAAGAACCACAAGCCTACATCTCATAATACACAGAAACCAGTGTCCTAGCTGAAAGAGGAAAGGCAACATATAGACTCCACTTCAATGGACACCTTTTCTAAGCATAATGTGGCAAAACATAAGGTTTGTATGTGTAAGATCTTAGAATTGAATGCATGTAATTCCATTTGTCTGGCAGGTACGTGGGATCAAACTCTCAATGTCCTTTGGATCAGCAAGGGCTCTACTTTGATCCTGGAAAAAAATCTCCAGTTGTACACACTGTATTTTACCCATTTTATTTTAAACCCTTGAAGCAGCCCTGTGGTTTCCAGCATGTGTGCGGAGACACTGACATTACTACAAGCTAAAATTTCCTCCCCCAGGGTAGCCACTTGTGATGTTTATACCATCAAATATTTCCCCCAACTCCTTGCACCAGAACTTACGGAAGATTCGTTTTGGAAACTCTCAGTAAGAAAACTCTGTCCTGCTAGTCCCAACTCCCAAATCTCCACTGGTTTATTCTTGTAAACACCACTCTGACCTTCCCATCTTGCCCGCCACAACCCAAAGAGGGTTTTCCCCTAGCATCATCTATCTACAAGCCTTGCTCCTTTTCCTCATAAAGTGTGTCTTTTCTGAAGTAACCTTCACCTCCAAAACCCCCAGGCGCTGCTTTATTGTTGTTTACAACAGACACAGACTATGATTCCCTCATTAGTCTGATATATTTAATTAGTATTCCTTGAGGAACAGCACCTGGACACCAGGGAGAAAGAAATTGAAGCATGCAAGTCATGAGAGAAGCCAATCTGCAGCCATAATTTATCAAGAAAAAAATTTTAAAAACAAGTATATTTGAGGCCAACTTAAAATAATACAGAACCAATGGATGATAAACACCCTTTCCTCAAAGCCTTTTATTTTCAGCCTCATGAATGACTGGACTTTTACCTCTACTGAATCCCTTCAACACACCATTGTAACAGGGTGCTTGCCCAGGCCAACAGTGTCCCAAAACAGAACTCCAGAAACACAAGGGCCTGAGGTGTACACAACAAGACAATCAGACTGTCAGGCTCCAGACCTCTGCTGTGCCACTGCTCCCTTTACCAAAGTGCACATCATATCCTTTCTTCTTCTTGAGTGAAATGTGCATATATGTGTGTCTGTGAATATATACATATATATACACACACATATATACAAATGTGCAATACAAAGACATAAGCAAGTAATTTTTCTCCTAATAATAACTTAATCAAAGTGATATTGTTGCAGAAAAAGTGTTCCCCCAAAATCTTCCTAACTTGAGAGTAACTATTGGACCGGAGGGAGTACTGCTCAAGTAAAAAATTTAACAAGCACTTCCTCAGTTGTTATGCAGCAAATGTTGACAACTAAAACTTACAATAATCTAAGGAGGCTATTTGATTTATAGTCATTCCCACATCCCCCACTTAGGATAATTCCTTTTTCTTAGAAATTAATATTGTAAGTAAAGAATCAGCAGCTATACCAACAGGTACAAAATGCCATTCTGGATTCTACAAGTTCCTCAACTCTTAGGAGAACTGACAATAGGAACTTTGAGGGAAAATTATTTTTTGTACCAGGATTATTCTGTCTCACTGCTCCAAACTCATTTGCTTAGAAACTTTAAAGATGCTGGAGCTCTATCAGCTAAAATTCACCACTCTGTTTAGCTCTGCATGGGACTCAAAGGGTTGGCCATTTAATATGAATGTAGAGGCTTCAAATCTAAGGGCTCAAGATCTGAAACTACAAGTTTTCTCCTCTCTTTGTCTGTCACAGAAAGCTAGGTCACGTCTTGACTCCTATTAAGGCTCCAGATTCCTGAGTCTGTAAGCCTTCCAGTTATAAAGGAATGAAATACCTGAAAAGTCTGCATTATTTAGCCCTCTGCCTTGGGCTCTATATCTAAACTCTGTTCAACGTATTTTAGAGCAAGGCATTCCTAGAAACAAGCTCTCAACCCCAGACATGTTGTAGTGTTAGACCAATGAATCAACAATGTTTCTTCCTAGAATAGGAGGCATTTCAGACTTCTAGGTCAATATAAATTGAAGAGGAAAAATACCTATGATGCACAGAGCAAAGTGGTCCCCATCCCATATATATTTCTTCTACTCTTTAACTGTAATATTGGGATCTCTAAGCAAGACAGATATTTCTGACTTCCAGTCAAGATGGAGCTGTAGGTAAACATGCTTCACCTTTCTGCACAACCACAGCAAAAATTACAATTAGACTACAAAACAAATATCACCCATATTCATCAGAAAATCAAGCAGTAAGAAAGTCCGACAACCAAGGATTTAAAGAAGCCACATCCATCCAGATGGGCAAGAGAGGAAGAGCTGTGGAGTGGTGCAGAGAGGCAGTCCCACATTCATGGGTGGTAGATAAAAATCGGGAGGGATACCTCTGGAATGAGCAATCCCAGCCCTAGCCCAGAACACTGAGCCCAGGGTTCCAGCACCAGAAAGGTAAGTCCCCATAGCTGTAAAAACCAGTGGGGGTTGTGGTGGTTGAAGAAACTGCAGGTTTCTCAGGAAACTCTGTTGAAGGGTCTGCAAAGGTCTCAGGACTTATGGAGACCTACTCCATCTGGGATTCAGCACCAGGGCAACAGCCAAAAGGGGCACAAGTGGCATACGGGAAGAAGGGTAGAAAGTGAATTGACTAGCAACAAGGAGAGCGCCAGGAGAGAGCTTCCTCCCAAGCAATCTCCAGAAGCCAGGCAGCGACAGTGTCCCCTCTCCAAGCCCTCTCACACAGAGCCACAAAGCAGTAAAATGGTTGCTCCACTCTGGCAATTACCTAAAGCTCCACCCCACACAATTTACAGGTCTGCTCTTCTGCAGCAGGTCACTGCAATAGGTGACTCTGCTAAGATGGGATGTCAAAGCAGCTCTTCCTAATACTCAGAAACAAACACAAGGGAGGCTGCCAAATTGAGGGGACAAAAAAATATGGTCCAAATAAAAGAACAGAACAAAACTCCAGAAAAAGAATTAAATGAAACTGAGATAAGCAACCTACCAGATGCACAGTTCAAAACACTGGTGATCAGGATGCTCAAAGAATTCACTGCAACGGCATAAAAAAGACCCAGGCAGAAATGAAGGCTGCATTGAGTGAAATAAAGAAAAGTGTACAGGGAACCACAGTGGAGGGGAAGAAGCCGAGAATCAAACAATTTGGAACATAAAGAAGGAAGAAAAAGCATTCAATCAAAACAGCAAGAAGAAAAAAGAGGAGAGAATAAGGAGCCTCTAGGACATCTCTCAATGTATCAACATCTGAATCACAGCGGTGCCAGAAGAAGAAGAGGAAGAGCAAGAAATTGAAAAGTTTTGACAAAATAATGAAAGAAAACTTCCCTAATTTGGTGAAGGAAATGGACATACAAGTCCAGGAAGCAGAGAGTCCCAAACAAGTTGAATCCAAGGAGGACCACACCAAGACACATAATTAAAATGCCAAAGGTTAAAGATAAAGAGAGAATCTTAAAAGCAGCAAGAGAAAAGCAGTTAGTTAACTATAGGGGAGTTCCCCTAAGACTGGTGGCTGATTTCTCAAAACAAACTTTGCAGGCTAGAAGAGACTGGCAAGAAGTATTTAAAGTGATGAAAATCAAGGACTACAACAACCTCGATTACTCTATCCAGCAAAGCTATCATTTAGAATGGAAGGGCAGATAAAATGCTTCTCAGACAAGATAAAGCTAAAGGAGGTCACCATCACCAAGCCATTATTATATGAAATGTTAAAGGGAATTATGTAAGAAAAAGATCAAAACTATGAACATTAAAACGGCAACAAATACACAACTAACAACAACTAAATCTAAAAAAAACTTAAGGCAACAAGCAGAATAGGAACAGAACCATAGGATATAAAGATCATTTGGAGGGTTATTAGCTGGGACAGGAAAGGGAGAGAATAGGGGAGAAAGGTACAAGGATTAAGTAGTACAAATTGGTAGGTACAAAATAGGCAGGTGGATGTTAGGAACAGCATAGGAAATGGGAGTAGCTGAAGAACTCATATGCATAACCCATGGACATGAACTAAGGGAGGGGATTGTTGGGGGTAATGGGGATACCAGGTGGAGGGAGGCAAATGGGGAATAATTGGGAAAACTGTAATAGCATAATCAGTAAAATATATTTTAAAAGATAAAGGGAAATCTTAAAAAGAAAAATGACATTTCCAGAGACACATTGTTAATTTGGCAAAACTTAACTGGATAAAGGATCATTCTAATGTATGCATCATTTCTATTTTTCTCTCTTGCGATGGTTAATTTTATGCGTCAACCTAACTCAGCCATGAAATGCCAATATATTTGGTCAAACATTACTCTGAGTGTGTCTATGAGGGTATTTTTTGATAAGATTAATATCTGAATCAGTAGACTAAATAAAGCAGACTTCCCTCCCTAATATGGGTGAGCTTCATCCAACCAGTTGAAGGGCTGAATAGAACAAAATGGCTGACAGCCCTGCTAGCAAGGAGGAACTCCTCCTGCCTGAGTGCTTGAGTTATTAGAACATCAGTCCTTTCCTGCCTCTGGATTCAAACTGAAACATCAACTTCTCTTGGGTTTTGAATCTTCCGGTTTTTGAACTAGAACTTACACCATCAACTCACCTATGTTCTGGTCTCTAGAATCAAACAGGAATGACACTGCTGTCTCTCTCCTGACTGGCTGGCTGCAGATCTTGGGACTTCTCAGCCTCCGTATCACATGAGCAAATTCATTATAAATCTATCCATGTATATACACAAACACAAACAAGTCCTATAGTTCTGCTCCTCTAGAGAGGCCAACTGCACTCCTTAACCTAAATTAATCTGGAAGTCTGAGATACCTCCTATTCTAGGAAGAAACACTATAGATTCAGTAAATGGCAGGGGGTCTGGAAAACAGTCATCTCCTCAATCTAATCAGTACAAAAAAATGAAGAAAATTTTAGATAATTTAGACTGATATCACTTACTACTCTGTGTACTGAAAAGGCAAATCTCTATTCCAGCACTTTATTTCCATCCTTTCGTGAAGCTACTCAGACCTCTTCTAGTTCTCTAGCTATAAATAAAAATACAAATGCCTATCCTGGCACCTCCAGACACTTAACAGGCAGACAAAATTTTCTAAGCTACCACAATTTTTCTGGGACAGCTGAACAGTGGCCATTAAATGTACATGTTATACCTCACACTTCCCTCCAACTTCTTCATCCCCCAATAGCCTTTAGTTAATAGCTCACATTCTCCAAAAAAACAGTCTCTACAGAGGTAGGACATGAGAGGCATATGAAAAAAAAAAACATCTTTTATTTCCTCTGGGCCCAATCTGAATCATACCTTATGGTCACAACTTTTACAGGCAGGCTATTAATTCAGCAGGCCACTTTGCCACTTTCTCTCTTTCCTCCATTACTCCTTTACCATCTATCAAAGTACAAAGATACCTCTCTCTTCTCTCACCCCTTAAATCAGAGTTTAGTGTATGATAGTCAATAAAAATTGAGAAAAGACTCCAAGCCAAGAAAAAGGCTCACCAAAAAGTGGCCTTCTTGTTCTGATCATTACAAACTACGAAGGGCTGATAAGACCATACAAACAGTGCCCTCTGTCACCCTTTTGGGGGTACTAACAGTGATTACATGTCCCCATCATTTCCTTTTGAGACCTTGAGGTTCCAAGGACATTTTTGATCTTTGTCAAATGAGCCAAATAGCATGTGTATGTACATGGGGACACTGTTAGGCTGAAAAAAATAAGGCCTACCTCTCATGGACCAAGTTGTTTTGGGCATGATCACAATAATCAGTCAGATTCCACGTATAGATTCCAAGTTAGATTCCAAGTTAGATTGCCAGAACCAAGCAAACAGAAAGGTTTCAGAGAGGACTAAAGGGCTTACAAAAAAATTATAATGAGACAATATAAAATCCCAATTCCTAAAAGCCAATGAATTACTAAAAACAGTGAATAGAAGCAGTACTGAAGTCATTCTTTTTCTGTGAGGGAAATTATTTTAAGGTCCCCAGGACAAAAGACAGTAAACAAGTTGGGGATCATTTAAAAGCCGCAGTACCAATTATTTCAAACATCTGTCCTTCTTTACCTGTATGCTGTCCAGCTCTTTCACAAAAAGGAACCAGAATTAGACTCCTACCAACAGAAGACCCCTAAGACATGTCATGTTGGTTCCTGCAGAAACTGCATCTTTTGAAGTAGTCTTTAAAAATTAAAATGAGAAAACCAAACAGTATAATGATAAGCCACTTTCTCCCTCCCGCTGTAATTTTTCTTTGATTGCCATCTGATGGTTCAAGAAAAAAAACAAAATCAGTCTCAGATTCCTGAATTAATCTGATCTCAATTCATAGCTAATGTGGCCAACAGTATATGCTTCTGTACAATTAAAACAGAAGGACTTTACATCAGAAGGACTTCAGTGCTTTGGTGTCACACTGTATTTACTGTAAAATACACTAATAATAGGATGGAGGCTGGACAAGGAGGTGAAAACCTCCATTACAAGGTAACATGACAGCAGAACTCTAGTTAGACTTTAAGGGAACTAGTTCTTTCGGCAAAGTAACCCCACATAATTAAGTTTCACACTTATAAAATTATCATTCTGAATTCAGGAATAAGAGGCATTTGGTTGCAGATACAATCCCATCTATAGATGCTAACTTTAAATGTAAAGGAAAACACTGCATTAATATTATGGGTTGGGGTTTCTTACACAATTCCTAAATCCACCTACTATTTTTTTTGTTTTGATACAATTTACAGTTGTGGTAAGATGACTACCACAACCCTGGCTCAGATGTGGTCTTTAGCTTCAGAAAGTCCATCGGTCATGTAGCTGGCTGTCACTGCTAAATCTGTTGCTTGCAGAGGCCTCAGAGTTCTGGGTTTGCCAAGTAGAGTCCTCGCCATTTAAACTCTTCCTACATATAGGACATGTATCATGCTGAAACAGAAAGATATCAGTCCATGTAAACAGCTTGACCTAAGAAGTTGCAGGTATTAAACACTTAAGAAACCCTGGGAGTAGGTGGGTAGAAAAACAAAAAGGTTATACATTCTCACATACTGCACGCTGGGCTACAAGGTTTAACACCTGGACATCTCCCAAACAGAACTTTAAACAGAACTGACAAAAAGTTCTTAATAGCAATTTAACGATAGTTTACACATAACACCAAAAAGAACTAACCATAATCAGTGACCTGGGATGATCTAGAGCAGAGGTCAGAGAGCTTTCTGTACAGAGACAGACAGTAAATATTTTAGGCTTTACAGGCTATATACCACCTGTGTCACAACTACTCAACTCTGCTGATGTCACACAAAAGTAGCCACAGACAATTTGTAAACAAACATAGGTGTGTTCTAATAAAACTTCGCTTATAAAAACAGATGGCAGGCCACACTGACATGTGGGCTATAGTTTGCTAACCCCTAGTCAGAAGTTTCAAACAGACAGTAATCTAAGAAACAGTAATGGTGTTACCAGGAGTTAGCCAGGAACTAAAATATAATCTTCATTAACTGTTAATTAAACTCTTACTCTCAACTATCACCCTAACAAGATGTGACAGGCATAGATGCCCAGTCTCAGATGAATGCGGTCTGTACTCACCAGTTCCAACCACGGCACAATACAACTGCTGTGAAAAAAATGGTTGCAGGGTAACTGCCGGACTTCCTCTTCAACCGTGTAATCTTCTTTGCATACTGGACACTCTAAACCCATATCTGTTGGAGGAGGAAATGCCTTTTAAAGTAAACAAGAAAAAGAAGGAAGACAAAACTAGCCCGATTTCTTTAACAATCAAAGGAATGCATAAAGAAAAGACACAATGGGCATCCAATGAGGAGGGAGATAGGAAGCATGAATTTTATTTCAAAATGAGGTTGGAAGTGATGGTAGATTGGGATATAAAGCGGAGGACTGATCAATGGGCCTAGTCTGATAAGATCTAGATAGGAACTGTATAAGGCCTACTTTTCAATGTAAAAAATTGGAACAAACAAACTAGGGCTTAGTTCTCTGTTAGGTAAAACAGGAACAATGTCTTCTCAATGTGTGATAGACTTCTGGTAGTTTCCATTTAGAAAACACTGGAAATATGTCTGCCATAATCGAAGGACTCATCTCAGTAATCTTACTGTTTCCATTCAGTGTCTCAAGCTACTTTTATCCTACTATTTTCTATCTTACCCATCCTCTTCCAGCACAGTTGCTCCAAAGCCCTCTTAGCAAGTTGTAATTAAAAAACGTACCGGGAGGTGGTGCTGCAGAATTTTAAAACTCTAGGGTAGCTCAGGCTCCAAGCCCAGAGACAGGAAGCCTCATTCTCTGGGAATGCCAGCTAGCCTCTAGTGGCAGGGATCAGCTATATGCCCCACCACAGTCAAGGCATCTAGAATGAGACTACCACTTAGCAGACTCACTCCTTCTCCATTCTCCCACAACCTTTGCCCTGATTCTAGTTTTTACTGCTTATGCCTAGTGTATTGTAACAACCTCCCAGGTAGTTCCCTAACTCTAGGCCTTGAAACTATATATACATCCTACACTTTGGTACCTGCTCACTTCCCCTAATACCAGCTTCAAAGCTGCTCATCTTCACTTACAGATACTCACTGGTGCCTCAAAAATCAACAAATTAAAAATTAAAAACAATGCATCACCTCCTTACTAAACCAGTGCCTACTAACACAATTCCCTCATTCTTGATAATGGTAGCAACGCCTCGGTAGTTACAAAGTTGTATTATCTTAGAATCATCTGACCCTTTCCCCTCCTTAATTCCATTATACAACTGTGATAAAAGCATTTGTTTTCTGTATCTATTCTGTCCTTAGCACTGTAACCACCACCTGAAACCCACATCTGGATGCTGCAACAGCCCCTTCAATTCCTGTTTCTCCTTTCTTCCCCTTCCAATCTACTTTACATATTACCTCCAAACTAATCTACTCTAAAGACCACTTAAATTCCTTTATTCCTCCATTTGGGGACCTACAAAGCTTACCTATCCTAAAATATTCAGCCCTAACTGCTCTGCCACCTGTTCAATATCCTCTATAACAAGGCTCCACTCTTTTAATCCAGTCATACCTCCCATTATTCCCCAAACCAGATTCTATTTCAGGTCTAACTCTCCTTATACCTGATTCAGACATCATGTCCATGCTGACATTTTCACACTGGTTCACACTTTTCATTAAATAGAATGACCTTTCTAAAGTGACCCATCCTGTCTTTAAAATCTGACTCAATGTGCATGGGGAAAGAAATTCCCAGTTTGAAAATAACGTCCTTTATTACTAAATTCCTCCAGTGCTTATAAATAAAATACCTATTTCTAATGTACCTAACTATAGAGTAGGTATAAAACAAATTTCCAGCCTCTCATTTATATCTTTTCCTATTGCCCCAGAATCAGTAAGTAGCATCTGCTCGACAGTATTTTTTACACTGTTATCTAAATTGTTTGAAGAGTTTTCCTTCCTCTAGTCAATTCTTTAAGGAATCAAGTCTTATGTATCTTTGTAACTCTTATTTCCTGCAAGGCATCTAGAAAAGGGACATGGTGATTGATCAGAAAATACCTGCTGACTAACCCTAATGAAAAGGGTACCTTCCTCAGCTGGCACCCAGGTAGGAATTTTAGGAGTCCTATAGCTTCACTTGAAGATCCTTAGTACAGGAAGGTGTTGAAATTTTGAAGAGAGATTAGAAGATGACAGAAATTGAACCTACCAACTTGTTCCTGAGTTACTGTCACTGTCGGAAGAGATGTGATCTTTTCCTTGTCAGCAGGAGGAGGCCCCGTGTTTTCCAATTGTCCTAAAAGCTACAAAATAAGAAAAAGAACAAGTGGCAGACATCTAACTATCCCTAACTAATGAGCTGCTCCAGCTGAGAACAAACAGTGCAGATATTAGAAATGTTAGTTGTTCTTTTTCCCATAAGACTCTGAGAGGCACAGGTTTCCCCTTTCCTGCCGCCAGGACACTAATAATTGCTTTACAAAGTCAGAGTGCATGTGTATAAGTATACAGATAGATCTTTCATTGCAAGGCCCACCTTTGGACACAAAACAACTTTAGAGGCAGCATAAGGGTTGTGACGTCATGAACAAAACTAAAGCTTAACAAAAGTAATACTTAACTGACCCAAAAACTTCATTCTGCTAGAAGGGTGGGAATATGGAAAATAGCATAACATACGCCAAGAAATAGGTAAATTATTTTGATATAAACCTCAAGCTTTCTATTCTCAGTAGTGCACAAGGGAAATGAAAAACCAATAAAATTAAAATTAACAAATGGAAACAATTATACATAGCACAGGGATACCTTTTCCTCTGCTTCCTTCCCCTACTTTGCTACATCTAGCAGAAATCCCTGCTTCAGCACATGAGGAGACCCTCCTTTTTTTGGGAAGTAACTTGTTAATAGGATCCTCATAGGACTGAACAACAGGCCAGAAATACAAAATACTGTTTGTTATAGAAAAAAAATCTCTTTTTATGGAGGTGAAGCCATCTTCTAAAAAGGCCTCAGGAGTTAGAAAATACAGGATGCTGAGCTAAACCCGTAAACCATTTATCCCTTTAGTAAAATGCAAAACTGTAAGCTCAAAATATTTGAGAAAGCAGAGTGACTGCGATTTCAGAAAGGAGCAGAAGGAAAGCAGGAAGCCTGTGGAACCATGAGACACATTGAACAGACACCTTTAAAAGGCAGCTCCTCACCTGGGTTACAATGGCATCAAGCCCTGTTTGACCCCAGGCATAGTCCCCAGGGTTGGAGTGCAGCATCCCGCTCCTATACAGGAGATGAGACAGACAGTATTAGATGGAGTGACGAGGCCCTGTCTTATACCAAAGAAAAAAATTGGCAGAGAGATCCTGCTCTAAGACTTGCAGAGTCACTAGTTTTCTAAAATCAAGTGGCAAAGAATTTCTCAATATTTTTAAGGTCTAACAGATTATCTAGATAGTTGCCCATTCTCTAGGAATTTTTCCTAACCTAAATGGAATACAAAATGTGAAGCCCCCTAAAATACCACATGATGCACAAGAGAGCAAAAGGAGTGACTGACTCACTGCTTGTGGATTAAGGAAAGTTTGTCTTCTCTGTGCCCACTTACATTACACATAGACTGAGCAGCTTTTTAAAGAGAGTTTTCCCTTCGTGACTGGGCAAAATCTACAGCAGACCTCTCTCATTCAAAGAGGCCACCTGTGGTCCTGGGCAATGAGAAGGTTTGAAGTAAAGAAGCAGCCACAGCAGTCTCTGAAACACAACTTAAAACAATTACAAAAGAGGCCCGGCAGGCAAGCGCTTCTTCTTGGAGCTGCTGGTACACTGCCCTGGTTGATGGAGGGAACATAACTTAGAGAAACCTGAGGTTGGAAAATAGGGTAACTGTGGATGAACTGAGGTCAGTCTGGGCAAAGAAAGCCTTCCAGGGCAGAGTCAGAAGTGGGAAAATAATTGTCCAGACAAGAGGAAAATCCATCTCTAACCCTGACCATATATGTCACTCTGATACTGAATTACAGCCTTTTGTTTCTTCTGACAAACCTTCTTACTTTGGAAAAAAAAGGAAATTAAACATTATGTTTTCAATTTCAGAAATTCTTAAGGAATAAAACCGTCCTATAGGACAAGAAAAAACCCACAAATCAGATACCAAGCCTGGCAGAGACCTATTCATCCCCCCACCTCAACACAACCTGTAATTAGATACATCCAGTGCCCAGACAACGTGGGGACCAGGATGACTCTTGTGAGCCGTAACAATAAAAAAATAAGTTCTAGTTAAGTTTGGGCTCAGCAAATAATAGCAGCCTAAGAGCCTGACAATCACATCTGTGTACTCACCTACACGGCTTTTTCTCTTTCTTATCATGGCAGAGAAACTGTAGTAAGTAAAATAATGTTACTCCAGCAAAATAAAGTAAAAGGCAATTAGTTACTTACCAGGTAAAAGGGTGTGGGGATCCTCCAGGAACTGCCGAATTTGCAAAAAACCCTGCAAAGATCTGTTGAATTATTCTGTTGGGAAAAAAATTTTTAAATAACACAACAGACTAATGCAAGTACTCCACAAATATCCATGGCTGACCCCTATGGCTTTTCAATAACTATTATACAACAGACAGCACCACAAGTCAGTCTGCTACCTAGTGGAATGCTACTTTGCTCTTATGCCTATCTTCCTGACTTCTGTTATCTTGCACAATTAATAGATTTTTGTAATTTAGACTAGAAAAGAATCTAATTGCATGGTAGTTTTCAATCTATGTTCCTTGGACACCTAGCAGCAATATGAGAAGACTGAAATAGATGCTAAACCAGTGGGATTTTGGGCCCATCTCCCTCTAACAGAGACAATTCCAATTTTAATTGTGATACACATTGGGTTTCTGTATAGGATACTGTTTAATGGGCCCTTTAAGAATTTCTTGAGAATAATTCCATTTTACAAACATATATCAACATGCTGTATTAGGTGTTTCAAATACTTAAAACAAATACAAATGAAACTGGTCATTCTGAACACTAAGAGGACAAAGCTAACCAGTCCTTTATCCTAATGAGTTGGTCATTGTTATTCAGAGATAATGGCATAATGCCTCAGGAAAAAAAAATTAATGAAGGGATTTTGCCCCTATATAAGCACTCCCCGCAACCCTTACTGAGATATAATTCATATGATATATACTTTTAACCCCCTGGCTCCCACCTTATCAGGTCAATCAAATAAAAGAGCAGTAGCCAATTAAGATGCTTCCTTTTTCTAATGCTCAACAATAAATAATTACACTATGTTTTAAAATATGTCCAAAAATTATTCTATACTCCTCCCTTAAGTGTAGGCTGGACTTGGTGACTCCTTTCTTAATTGAAGTATAACTGACATATTAATTTCAGGTGTAAAACATGATTTGATGCTTGTATATTGTAAATCTTCACGATAACACTAGTTAGCATAGTTAAAAAATTTCCTTGTGAGGAGAATTTTTAAGATCTACTCTTTCAACTTTCAAATGTATATAATACAGTATTAATTACAATACAGTATTATTAATTATAATACTGTAATTAACTATAATCTCATTGTGTTTTTGATTCTCATTTCCAGGATGATACAGTCACCATGCTTTATATTATATCCCCACTATTTATCTTATAAGTGAAGTTTATACCTTTTCATCCCCCTTCAATCATTTTTCCCACCCTTACTTCAGCTCTGTCAATGGCCAATTTGTTCTCTGTAACTCTGAGCTTGTTTTTTTTTTCGGTGCGATTACATGATATATCCTTTTCTGTTTGACTTATTTCACTTAGCATAATACCCTTAAGGGCAATTCATATTGTACCAATGGAAAGATTTCATTTATGGTTAAATAACATTCCATTGGGTACACACACACACCATAATTTTTCTATCCATCCACTGGTGGAAATTTGTTTTTTCCATGTCTTTGTTATTGTAAATAATACTGCAATGGGAATACATAACTTTTAGAATCAGTGTTTTTGTTTTCTTCAGATAAATACCCAGAAGTGGAATTATCTAGAGCATATGGTAGTTTTAATTTTTAAAGGACCCTCCAGACTGTTTTTCATAGCAGCTGTTCAAATTTACATTCCTACCAAAAGTACACAAGGGTTCATTCCCAATTTTCTACATCCTCACCAAAATGTTATATTCTTTTTGAGCGCAGCCATTCTAACAGGTGTAATGTGATATCTCATTGTGGTTTTGATTTGCATTTCCCTGATGGTTAGTGATATGGAGCATCTTTTCTATGTACCTGTTGGCTGACTGTATGTCTTCTTTGGGAAAATGTCTGTCTATTTAATCTTCTTTGCAATTCAGTTGTATAAGTTCTTGAAGAGTCGCCTCTCACACACCCTCAGCTGGAGATCTGGCCTGCAACCCAGGCATGTGCCCTAACCAGGAATCGAACCAGCCACCTTTTGGTTTGTGGGATGAAGCCCAATGCACTGTGCCACACCAGTCAGGGCTCTATGAGTTCCTTTATAGTTTGGATATCAACCCCTTATCAAATATGATTTGCAAATACTTTCACCCATCCAGACTGCCCTTCCATTTTGCTGATGATTTCCTTTGCTGTGCAGCTTTTTGTTTCATGCAATCCTACCACTTATTTATTTTTGCTTTTGCTATCCTTGCTTTTGGTGTCCAAAAAATCATCACCAAGACCAATGTCAAGGAGCTTACTGCCTATATTTTCTTCTAAGAGGTTTATGGTTTAGGCCTTACCTTCAAGTCTTTAATCCATTATAAATTAATTTTTGTGTATAGTGTAAGATAGTGGTCCAATACCATTCTTTTGAATGTGACTGTCCAGTTTTCCCAAAGTCATTAATTAAAGAAAGTGTCCATTTTTCCAATGTATATTGTTGGCTCCTCTGTCATAAATTAAATGACATATATGCATGGGTTTATTTCTGGGCCCTCTATTCTGGTCCAATGACAAATGTGTCTGTTTTTATAACAAAGCCACACCCTTTTCACTACTACAGTCTTGTAATATAGTTTGAAATTAGGGAGCCCGATGCTTCCAGCTTTGTTCTTCTTTCTCAAGATCACTGGCTATAAAGGGTCTTTTGTGGTTCTATACAAATTTTAGGACTGTATTTCTGTAAAAAAAAAAGCCAATAAAATTTGATACAAATTGCATTGAAGTTGTGAATAAAAATGCTTTTAAGCAGACATGACTGTCCTAACTTGTTTCTAGTAAAAATTTAACAAACATTATTTACATTGGCAGTCATAGTGAAAGGGAGATTACTGCACCTTCTCCAAGCCACAGGGCAAGAAACATAAAAAGTGTGGTGGGTTTTATGTCCCTTTCCAAGACCTCAGCTCTTTTAGCCTGCAGGTATCAACCCCTATGTCTCCCTGTGCTTGTGGACTGGTTTGGTGATCCACTGGGTATCACAATTTTTTTATAGCATTATGGAAAGATCAATGAGGGTAACCTCAAACCCAGTAAAAAGTCAGTACTCTCAGAGCTCCACAGTAGCATATAGCTTGCTCCTCAGCAACAGACTAAAAGCCTTGAGCTGCTTAACATCATGACGGTCAGGATCACCATAGGCTGCACCTGTAGGAAGTGGGCTTTTGTGGCTACAACAGTGCACACAACAAATCCAATATATGACATAACCTTGCTTGGCCTTGTTTTCCTGTGGAGCGTAGACAGCTGGCAGTACTGCCAGCAGCACATCCTGAGAAAAAAGTCCATTGCAATGGAAGAAGACATAGTCCAATGCTCCTAGATGTACTTGTAAGTGCCCAACGTGGCTTATCAGATGGCTGCTGCCAGACAGGCACTATCACATTCTTAATGATTCTACACCCAGAGCCAAGCATCTGTTATTTCGTTTTGTCTCCCAAAATAGTCACAAACAAGCATTTATAAACTAAGAATCCTACTATTATACATCACTGTTTATATTACCAATGAATTAGATTATATTACCAATGAATTTCAAATCAGGATAGTAAGAGAAGCCATTATATTTGTTATAAAGTGAGATACAGGGTCTGATATGGCCAAGAACCATTTCAGTTATATGAACCAACACATTCTCATTTCTTCAAGTTATATTAAACTGCATTTCTACTGCTTATAGCTAAGAGTTTGGTCAATACAACCAAAAAGCACCAGATAAAGAAAGTACCAGAAGAAAATATAGGAATCAATTTTTAAAATCTTGGAAAAGGAAAGACTTGTTAAAACATGGTATGAAATCTAAAAGATTGAAAGATCTGATATTCTAAAAATTAAAAACATCTGTACAACAAAAGTTACCAAGGACAGACTAGAAAGAAATTTACATTTACTATATATAAAAGAGTAATATCCTTACCACATGAATAGTTATAAACCCTACAATTTTTAACTCTATAATAAAAAAACTGGGCAAAAGATATTCATTTTAGAAATATAAATATCTAATAATTATATGAAAATAAGCTTAACTAAGTGAAAAATCAGAGACATGAATTAAAACAAAAGCCCTGGCTGGGTGGCTCAGGTGGTTGGAACATTGTCCCATTCGTGATGTGGGGGACGTACAAGAGGCAACCAATCGATGTCTTTCTCTCCCCCTTCCCCTCAAAGACCTATAAACATATCCTCGGGTGAGAATTTTTTTTTTAGTATTTCTTTTTTCTATGAGATTAGAAAAAATAAAGACTAATAACATCTGCTTTATATGGTGTAATTTCAAAACTACTGGTGAGAATATAATAGTTACAGCATTTCCAAAGGACAATTTAACAATATCATTTTTTAAATGGTCATATCCTCTGATCCAGCACTTTGTCTTAAAATGTCATCCTTCAGAAACATTTCCATAGACATCACTCTAAGGTGAGATAAAGCAGTTAGCAGACCAGTATTAACACCTAGAACAATTTAGAAAATCCAGACACTTAGCCCAGAAAACTGGTTTGAAGACAGAGTGGCTAATGCAATGACAAATAGAGGGATTAAGAATCTATAGAGAAGGAATAACCCTCAAAAAAAGAGCCAGCTTCAGTAACTACATTAGTTTATGCTGGGCAAGGGCTAAAGGCTGAGAATGCTATGCAAAACTTCAATGGAAGGCCACTATGAGGAAATAAAGCAATCTAAATCTTATGGCAAAGAAGTCTGAAGCACAAAGCAACTTTCCCTTCAGAACATTTACCAAATCTAAGAATATACAGGACAGCAAACAGAAAACTTTAGTGGAAACCTTCGAAAAACAGAAGGGTTTTGCAGCCCTCTCATGAGACAAAAATAAGAGTTCAGGACTCATAAAAGGAAGGGTCCTACAGAATATATCAGGCTCTAAATTGGAACGTCTGGAGGCCAATGGTGACTCCTAAACAGACTATTCTTATCAGGGCTGCAACCCAGTCCTGACACAGTACCTGAAAAAATCAAAGTGATCACCCACCATTCTATATGATTAAGAAGAAAAGAGTGAACCCTCTCTCTAGAGAAGAATAACATTGTCCTCAGCCT